CAGGGTACGGAATATAAGCAGATGATTTTACCAGACAAGTCAGTGGCGGAGACGGAAAGAAGTGAAAAAACTAATTCGAAGGCAGGAACTCGGAGTTGAAGGCCACATACGCCGAAACTGCAGGAACACCCCGAGTACCCATTTCCAGCAACAAGCAGCAACAAATTTGACCATATCGAGGACGGAGGTTGCCAATAGTGAAAAAATGTTTAAAGCTCTAAAATTTATCAGTGAGTGGCAACAATAACGGACTGTCCATCATGGGAATATCGTGGAGTCCGCTATGACATGCCCGGAGCTAAGGTTCCATCATTCGGAACGATTTAGCTGAAGTTTTAAAGATAAACTTATTTGCCCCATCCTGTGTGACCCTTCAGACTGCGGCGGTGACAAGATCGACAAACTGGGAAGTTAAACGTAAACACATTGGAGTGCGCCTACCATCACAGGCATAGTGCGGATGACCAGATCCAGATACGGATTGGACTTTTTAAGGAATACATTTTCCTTAGACTTGAAAACAAAACAGCTTTCAGGTCTGAACCTGGACTATCCACTAGAAGGGATCCTCCCTGGAAATGCCGCGCTTGTCCGAAAAAACCAGCTCGAGAACAGCCGAAATGATGCTAGGGTCGAACAGAAACACAGATACCAGATATTCTCCATCAGAAGCTCTCGTCGAGACCTTCGTCTGCCTGTGACCGCCTGTTGATCGCGTACGGATGCTTCATGCCTGAGGAACACATCAAGATGCCGGCCGGTTGAGAGAGGATGCATCGTTCTGGCACGAAAGCGAGTCCTTGGCGACGGAGAAAAAAAGACCAGAGCGACACAAGAGCGAATAGATTCAAACAAGGAGACAAGGTGGTGTGGAACCGATCACACAAAAGGCTGAGTCCTAAATTACAGTCACCTTCGAGGTCCATAACGTGCGAACCGAGCGTCGAGGTTCGGATCCGGAATCTTCGAATCTTACGCAGGTTAGCACAGACTTGGCCATAGTACGTAATGCAATAATGTAAATAGTAAGTAGGGGCCTTTTGTTTTTTTTTTGTGTATTTTTGATTGGTTGTTGGGTTGCATTATGTTCATGTGTTTATATTGTAAGGGAATTGTCTGAAGTTTATGCCACAGTTAAGTTTAGCTTCCTGTCCGGGATTGTACTGCCGGGACGGCCCCTGGGAAGGGGCAGGTTACGAATTTTTATTTCTAGCTACGTTTTCAATTAAATGAAATGGTTTTATTTCTCGCGCGTGCAGCGCGTGACGAATATTAAAAGCAAAGCTAGCCGGAAAATTAAAAGACAAGAGCGCGTGCGTAAATCATAAAAATCTCTTTTTGATTTCGAGAAAGTGTGGAAAATTCTAGCGCGTGATTAAATCTAAAAAGGAGGAAACATCTCAGTTTGTAGTAGTAGTGCTTAGTTGTGTTGTTTGAAAACTACTGTTGTTGATTGTAGCGATTGCGATTAGCGGTTCTTTGCGTGGGTTACGTTCTATTGACTTGAGGTTAAAGAAACGAAGGGGAGATATTATCTGCCTGATACTTTGAGAAAATTAAGCATTTTGTTGTGGCAATAAAAATGTTGTATTTTCATCGGACTTGTGCATCAATTCATAACGAACCCGTAGCCGCAAACAATATGTTTAAAGGCACTTTTTTTTTAGCCATATTCTGAAGTCTTGTTCATCTGTTTCTTCCTGATTTAGAAAAACTCCTTCAACAGAGCTTTGGCTTCTATTTTTGGAGCTTTTAATTTTCCTTTTTGACCTCTCCGTTCTGCCTTTTTTATTCCGAATTTTCGTGGGTTGGGGAAGAGGACCTTTTATTGCCATTTGTTTTTGATACAGCGGGTTTTTTTTTTCCTGTAAATTATGCAAGGTTTTGTTGCTTATTGATCGAAACGATGTGGTGTCTTCATCATAAGAAACATTCGGTCTTGGCTGACCTGTGCTATACATTTTCTTAGCTTCAGGAGGAGGTTTTTTTTTTAGAATCTTAACCCTTAACCGACGATTTAGATTCGGAAGATGGGTGGGCTGAATTGATACAACTCGCGCAGCGTTTTGGGACATTTGCACGACTGGGAACACGAATCCGGGAAATCGTAACATGACTAATTATTAAGTCGAAGAAAGAGAAAGTATAGGCGAATAAATTGATGATACCTCCGATGACGATCACTACCAGAGTCTGGCTTGGAAAGAAATAAGATAGTCCAAAAATCTGGGACCTATACGATGACTCATGGCAAAGAGAGGAAGCCTTGTCAATAGGAGGAGTAGAGGAGAATTTGAAGATTTCATCTAATAGTTGATGATATATTGGAACCTATTGTAACCGAAACGAATCAGTATGCAGATCAAGTACGAGAAAATCACAGAACACGAGTGTAAAAAGTGGCAAGTCCGTTACATTACCAGAATGCTTGAAATATATCATACCGTTCAGATACTAATTTTGTATTTTGAGTTGTTATAAAGAAACATTTGTAATACTGCGTCTACCACAATTGCATCAGAAGTAAGTGCGTATCAAATATTCCACGTAATATTCACTTGCCGATCACCGTACGCGGGCTATGGCCGTGAAAGGTATGTTTGGCCCGACCACCATACTCGGGATATGCCCGTGAAAGTTATGTTTGGCCCGACCATCGTACGCGGGCTATGCCCGTCATTGTAGATTAAGGGGTATTTCTTTCTCTTCTTTTCTTCATTTAGGGCAGTTTCATGAGTATGACGAATGGTCGGCATGACAGTTTACGCATTTTGGATCGGCTATACAGTCCTGACTTTCACAACCGGTTACAGAACAGGAAGCGCACGCCAGTTTTCCACGGCATGCGGCCTTTACATGACCAAACCGTTGACACTTGAAACAGCGCAGTGGGTTCGGCACGTGAGGTCTGATGAGACAATTCAGGTATCCTGATTTAATGGCTTTCGATAGCTCTGGAGATGAGAACATATCAGGATAACATGTTTTGTGTTAACAAGTTGCCCATCCCTACGGATTTTAATTCGGCGAACCTCACACACGTTTTACGCAGCCAGTTATTTTAACAGTTCTTCCTCAGGGACTGATAACAGGTCTGTTTCTGAAACAACACCTCTGGACATATTCAAAGACTTATGTGGGGGCACATTAATAGAATACTCATCCGTGTCTGTCATTTTTAGGAGAGAGGCGGATTGCGCATGAGATATCGTCTTAATAAGGATACATCCTGAACGGGGCTTTTTTGTGCATTTTGGCTCGCCAACCGCGGCCACAGTATGCTTGTGGATATGGAATGGTGGTAGATTTTCTAGTTGACCAGTAATGACTAAGAACTTTGGACTTTGTTTGGGATAACATCGTAGAAGTGCATATTCGCTCAGCAGCACAAAAATTTTTCGTTTCCATGTGATTGGAAGAAATTAAAGTTTCTATATTGAAAATAGGAAGGATTCGGGTCCGACTGTCCCATCTACCATGGAGCCCTATAAGGAAACACAGAACCCTGTGTTAGAGCTAGCCGGAACTATACACAGATTGAAGCCCAAACAGTCAACTTTCTCGAAAGCGGGAACTTTTTTTGAATTCATAATGAAATTCCATAATGAAAATTTAATCTACTTAATTCCAGATTTAAAGGCACACAGATATTATAATTTTGTTTTGGGATACGGAATTTATACGAAATCATACAGATAATGAAATTTAAAAGAAATATCTACAAAAAAAGATGGTTTGAAGTTTAATATGGTAGAAAATTGACCACTGAGCAAATTCTATTAGAACACTGGAACTGCATCTAAACTCTAGTATGGTGTTATTGCTATTACCAATCACATTTTTCTGACAATCAATTTCAAAAAAGTCAAACATACCTGTCGTTGGCAAGAGTCTTGAGCAACATATAGGTGACAACCCGGCTTTAACTCATTTCCGCCCCTAATTTAGAAAGCGAGTACCCGAGGGTCTCCCACCCCTCTTCTTTTGTCGCCAACCTCTCGAGAGAACTTTCGGTGCATCGCATGTTTAGATTGCCTCCATGACGCACAGACACTATACATTTACAAACATCCATGCCTTCGCCTGGATTCGAACCCGGGCCTTTCACTATGGCATTCCGAGTCACTAACCACTATTCCGGTTGGACGGCAAACTGTAGTATTTAATTTGCATCAATATCCACGATTTCTAAAAATTTCATATACATAGAGGGAGTACAGTCTTGAATGTATTATTTCCTTGCATGTCTTGAAAATAAATAAGTAATTATTATATGTCAATATGCAAACATGCAAAACAAATATCATATTATTTCATGGGTTTGCATACTGACATAAGTAATTATTATCTTTAAAATGTTTTGTTGTTTATTAGCAAAAACAAAATATGGTGTATTAACCAGAAACCATTGTATTTCTTTTCTAATTTGAAGGTAATGAAGAAGGCTTTTTAACGAACAATATATGAATCTGGAGATCCAGCGTCTGAGTCTACTGTTTAACAAAATCTACGAATATCACAGAAAACTTGCGGAAAGATGTATAACAATACTTATACATCTTTTCTACAAGATTTCTCGTGATATCTGTTTCGTATTAGGCATATTTCAATCTAACACAGATGACATTTAGATCAAATTTAGTGTACAAATTATTTTTTTCTGTACCTATGAGGAAATGTTTTTTATTTCAATGTGTTTTTCAGAATAAAATATTACGCAAAAAACTAGAAGAATAAGTAGTTAAAAACAGTAAAATTTTTTTCACAAAAGACAGCTTTCATGGGTTTGCATATTGACATACGAAAAAATTGTTTCCTCCTACAGAGTAAAATCTGTAAGTCACGAAAGTAGTTTTTCAGCGATGAAAACTAGTTAAGAGTAGATGCTTCCTTTGTTGTGTTTACTGTCAATATCGAACATAATGTTTCATAATTGTGTGTTCAGTTGTAACATGCAAAAAATAGAAGTGTCTTATGGAAAAAGCAGGAGCAGAGGGGGGACAGCTACACCAGTGCGCAGTATTGAGTTATTCTGTATCTAATTGCAGTCATTCTATTTTAATCCGAAGCTTGTGAGAGAAGTTTTGAATTCTTACTTTGCATCTTAAAATGAAATTCAATGCTTTTTTGTCTACTTTGGCTCTTTTTTCGGCTATTTTACAGATAAATAGTGACGAAGGAGTAGATGATATCTATGGAGAATGCATGGAGAATGAAGTTTGTCACGAACCATGTAAGTTTAGCCGTTTTCATTTAATTAAACTGGACTTTGCAGCAATTTTTGCTCCAAGTCCGATTATCGATTTTTTTTTTTTTAGTTAATCTATTTTTTTAAATATTTTTATTTCACATTTATAAATTATAGCAGTTAGTGATATTTATTATTTATCATAGAATATAATTACAATCTGTATTTTACATTCTTTCTCATACGCCAACATTACCTAGTCAGCTAGCATTTTAGAATTTCATTTTCATTTTTAACATGTTTCCATTTTTAATAAAATTTTATGGAAACGGCCTGCATATCTTCATTTATTATTAAGTTCTTTAAGTTCTCTAAAAGAGAAAAAAATTAAACTAAAGCATAGAGTATAAAGATTAAGAAATCTGTTAAAGAATTTCTTCTGATGGGCTAGGGTTAGCTGGACGAAAGAAAGTTGCAGCCGGAACTTGATAGGCAGAATCTTAAATGAGAGTACAAAAAATTATTCTAGCTTAAGCATAGAATTATCAACAATTTTAAAGTTGTTGAAGTGCCGCTAAGCCTAATAATTTTTTTGATGGCGGCCATTGCTTGTTTACATTTGAAACAGCGCGAAGTGAGAAAGTTGGAGCCGGAACTTGATAGGCAGAACCTTAAGTGTACCTTATCCATCAAGAAAAGATGGATAAGTTAAACTTAAATGAGGGTACTCAAAATTATTCTAGATTAAGCACTAAAAATTTAGCGGTGTTCCTAGCGCTTGCAAATAACCCAAGACGTGGGTACCTCACGTATACAAACTTAAAGATATGTTCTAATAAAGGAAATTTCTTGTCATTCAGATATTGTATTAATTCTAAACCCCGCAAGAAGTGGTAGATAATTTTGTTTAGCTTTAAAAAAAAGCACAAAGAATAACATATAAATGTTTAGCTGAATTTATCCTTGTGTTATTGAAATTAAGCTTATCCATTAGTCATTTTGAGACGTCAAAAATTGATCTAACCCAGATAAGGTTAATCAAGAAAAGATGGATAAGTTAAACTTTATATCCTTAATTTTATTCTTACTAATTTAGTTTGGTTTAGTTTATTACGGCAAAGCACGCTAGGGCTATTTGCCTAAAGGGAGGAATGTCTTCATGGAGGACTTTCTAAGAGAAACTGGCTTGTATACACGTTACACATGGAGAAAACTACGAACCCGTTCGCCTGGATTCGAACCCAGGTCGGAGAACTATTCAGCGCTGTTACCACTCGGCCGCTGGTGAGCCCTGGTAATTTAGGAAAAATATTTTCAGAAAACAAAAATAATTTTTTTTATCACCATTTACCATCACAAAATTTTTCACCAAGCCTAGTTTAATTAGAATAGGTAGTAGAGACATTAGGTAATTTTTGGAGCCAGAGAGAGGAAAAATTAGCAAACGCCTTCGCCGGGAATCGACCACGGACCTTTGGAATACCGGCCCAGCGTGCAGAACCACCTACACCACGAAGGACGCTAGGAAAGTGGGAGAAATACCTTATAAGGTGATTTGTGCATTTTAATATCTGAATTTAGACTAGAACCTTATGGTATGATATTATTCTTTCCCTCGATCCCCTCAAATCGAAAGCAAGAGTATTTTATTTGTACAAGTTGTAGTTCAGATATTCTCAGACGTAAGATTTTCTCGTTAACTATACTGCTTAACAAAAATTTTATATTTTCACAAGATTCTGTAATGAAATGTATTCACGAGCCCAAAACACTACAGATGGGGTATGTCAGAATTCAGAAAGATATTAACCTCTCGGAAATTGTCATAATTTTGTTATGCAAAAATCTGATGTGTACACCACTTGACTTTCTTCTACGGAATATTAAATTATACGCAGTTTTCCTGCATTTCATTTAAACATATTGAATTAACAGTTAACGAATTTTGAATTAAATTTACTTCGTGCATAGCGCATAAAGAGCAATAGAATAAAGGCACTCTTAAAAGTTCACTATATTTATTTACCCTAGCGACACTTCGGTGCTAGTTCCACTTAACAACGTTACATCTCTTTCATTTTTTAACTCAGAGTGCACAAAAATTATAACATCCGAAGAATTATCACAAGTTCTATTCAAATACTGTAATAAATCTAAAACGATATATAAAATAAATTAAACAAATAAAACAGAAACAGTTTTTCACAGACGATTCAGCACCGCTTACCTAATGCGCATGCGCTACTAATTAATTCAGTTCGCTGCAAGGCAAAAATACATACAAATTCGAAATATTTTGATAACAATTTGAAAGATATAGAAAAACATAAAACACAAAGTACAGATAAAACAATTAAAAAAACAATTTTTACAATTAAAATTACAGTTTGTACACAAAAACAAGCTAATAATTTAAATGATAATTCCAGAATGAATTAAGCATAATTTAATCCACAATAATAAAAGAAGACGTTACTTTGTTGTTGCGAAGCTTAGTTTCTCTAGATTGGCAACAAATCCACTATTCTGCTAAGTTTAAATGTAAACAAACATGGCTGCTATCGTAATAAAAAATTAGGCTCAGCTTCTAAAACTAAAAACTAAAAAACTTCTAAAAATGTTGATAATTCCACCATTATTGCATGCAGGTTAACAAAAAGCATAAAAATCTTAACCGAAAAATAAGGTGGGGTGTATTTAATTATGGCAAAGCACACTAGGGCTATCTGCCTAAGGGGAGGGATGCCTTTCGTGGAGGACTTTCTAAAGGAAATTGGCTCGTATACATGTTACACATGGGGAAAACCACGAAAACACCCATGCAGCCAGCCCGTTCGCGGGATTCGTACCTCGAACCGAACTACCAGTGTTCAGCGACTTTACCGCTCGGCCGCTGGTGGGCTCAATCCGAAAGATAAGAACAACTTAAATCAATCATTTTTAAAGCAAAAAATCCACAATTTGCAAACGTTTAGGAATAAAGAAACTGAGCTCACTGAACCGAATAACAGAGTGGATATATATATATACACACACATATATTTATAAACTTTTGGTGCGGCCGATTGCAACCAAAATAGGAGGTGCACATCTACATGTTATAGTAGCCCTATATACTACAAAATTTCACCGTTCTTGAGGCTACTTGTTTTTGAGTTACGAACCTTTGTACGTAACTCAAAAAACGACAAAAAAAGTCACGAAAAACATCTCTTTAAAATTCATTTTAAATCAGTTTTATTTTTTTTTTTTTTTTTTTTTTTTTTTATGTGGGAAGAGTTTTTTTAATCTGTCCTTACGAACAGATGTCAGGCAAAAACATCGTTAAATTGCATTCGGTAGCGGTCAAAATGGATAGTTTCGTTGAAATATGATACCCGAAATTTTTCGCCATTACATTACTTCTTTTTTACTTCATACAAGGAATAAAAAAGGAACCAAAGGAATAAATTTCATTTTTTTAATTAAAACAGAAGCACAAAATAATTAAGAGGGATTAAAGTATATTTTTTAAACAAAATTCTTGTTGATTGGTATGATTGAAAGGATTTAACTTTTTTTAGAAGCTTAGTAACTTTATCAAACGATGACATATATTTTCAAACAATTAAAAACTACCTACAAATAAAAAAGAATTGAAGTAAAAGAATAAAAGAAAACTGAATATTCTTTTTTGTATAAATCTTGCTGTCTTGGCTTTTCAAAGGAAAAAAATTGCAACGACAACCAAAAATGCTGCCCTAAATTTCAGATGGACATGTCGCATAAGAATAGAGATCTTCTCTTATTTTTTTACTGCAAAAACAATGGTACTTTACTTTTATGCACATTCTCTCCATAAATATATAAATTAACGACTACTTAAACGCAATTAAGACATCAAGATGATTGGTTTGATTGAGGTTAATGCGATTAAGCTACCATTTATTGCTTCTACGATCCAAGGCGGACTTAGTGATTCGTTAGAAGGCTTTGTACTAAATTTATATGGGAAATTAATAATTTACTCAGAGTTAAATTTATCTGAAGAAAGTAAACCTAATTTTAACAATAAGTTAGGGATAATTTTTGTATACCGATATTCACGAACATCCTTCAACTTGATGGGTACAGAAAACAATCTTTTTTATTAAAAAAAAAAAAAAAAAAAAAGATTCATTTAATTTAAAAACACTATATCAACACTAGAACTACCAAAAACCATCAATTTGATGAATTTGTAGTTGTTTTCAGGTGTACTGTGCAGAAAAGGTTGTGATAGTTTTAGTGTTAACAGACTTATCAGAGCAATCTTCGCTGACACTAACTATTCTCTCTAGCAATTTAGTATCTGTTTTTGAGTAACTCATGGTGACTATTCGTCAAATTAAAGTAAAACTAGTACTTTCCTCTAATTTTATAAAGATATTACTAATGCTTCCCCATATTAGTCTCATACTTTCTTCTCAATTGTCTCTGCTCGCACTAACTAAAACTTTTTCTAAAATGTCTTGACACATTAACTGGAATTTAACGAATGCAAATCTTTTCTTAGTGTTGAGCCTAATGCTTTGTGTTTACGCTTTAAGCACATAGTTGGCAAATAAACTATGAGGTGTTTTCTCTTTCCGTCCAGCAAGCTTTCGTGTTCTAACAGTAGCACAGTCGGCGCCTATTCGAGAGGTCCAGGTTCGAGTCCAGGCGAGGGCATTGTTAATTTTTTACATCTCCTGCTTTAAAATAACCTAATAACTCTACAGTGGCGCCCGAACTAAAAGATGATGGACAATAATTCGTCACCACCAGGATTTGGCGAGTGAATCTCCTACTATCCAGTCACCTTTTAAAAGAGGGAGTATGTAAGGTGTTTTCTCTCTCCTTGTAGCACGCTTTTATAGTGTAACGCCATCACATTTGGTGCCTATTCGAGAAGTTCAGATTCGAGCTCCGACGAGGGGCATTGCACATTTTCACGTCCCCTGCTTTAAAATAACCTACCCCTTACTCTGATGAGCCGCAGTGCGTTGATATTTGGTTCGAAGTTGTCGTAAGATATTTCCTTTTAATTGCGATTTTTTATTTAGTATCTACGTGATAACTACGTTTACATTTGTCACCAGAAAAATTATTTGATTAAAAAAACCGAGTTATTACGTTTAACTCCGTAACTAGCTTACCCGTCATTCTGACGGGTACCCGTAGAGATAGAATAGAGAATCCATAGAGATCATACAGAACTCTAAAACTAAAGGCCTGAAGGGGAAACAAATTTGCAGAATCATCAGTATAATGCGGATATTCCTCTCATTATACTGATAATTTTCAGCTTAAATTATTAGGAAACTATAAAAATAATTTTTTTTTTTGATGAAGTCCGAAGTCCGTCAAAATGACGGGTCCGTAAATCTAATCTTAAACTAATTCTATTTGATTTAGTTTGGTTTGTGTGATTACGGCAAAGTCACAAGGACTATCTGCCTAAGGGGAGGGATGCTTTCGTGGGGGACTTTCTAAGGAAGACTGGTTCGAATACACGTTATACTTTGCGAAAACCACGAAAAGGCCCTTACAGCCAGCCCGTTCGAGCGACTCGAACCTCGGACCAAACTACCAGTGTTCAGAGACTTTACCGCTCGGCCGCTGGTGGGTCCTAATTCTAATTAAAAATCAAGAAGTGTTAAAGCCAAGCTGACGTGTTCTGAGTTATTCTAAATTACCTTTAATAGCCGTTTGGGGAATGTGTACATTTTGTAATGTCTCAATGCAAGTTGCATTAAATTTTGTTTACTTTATTTTATGAAACAGCACATAAGATTTAAACTTCTTATTTTGTTTATAAATATGTATGCAGTTTAGCCTTACCTATTGATTTTAGCATTATTGGGTAATTGTTAATTTAAAATAAAATTAAATCAGATCCCAAGAAGTTTTTTTCGTGACTTTAAAACTACAGAAAAATGTATGAATTTGGATTAAATATTAAGAATGTATATAATGCGGTCTGTATTATGATACGTTTCCTTATCATGTGTTCTTATTTTCAGCTGGAATCCCAAAAGCTTTGCATTGCTTACATATGTTGGCAGAACTGGTATAGTATAAATATTTATATTCATATTAAAATTTTATTGTAGAATGAATGTAACAATTAGAAATTGAATGTAGCAGTTAGAAATCAGCTAGAATTTCCGCTCTAAGAATATAATTTGAATTAAATAAAGCACATTTCTGAAGATTATATTTATCAGACGATTGCAGTTTTATCTAATAAATTTTATCGCGCGTTTAATTTCAAGAATATCATTTTTATGGCATTTTTCTGAAATAATAATGATGATAATAAAATTAAATAACGTCAATCTTATTTTTTTCATCAGTTTCATAAAGTAATGATGCATTATGTCTCGTATTTAATTGAAAGGCAATAGCATAGAAATTAAATCTAAATTTCAAGAAAGAACTTTTCATGTGAATTCGCTTGATAAAATTAATTTATTTAGACTTGCTTAAAATGCGAAATATGTGCTTATTGAAGTATGCTAACTTAAATTTAGATTCTTAAAATCATTTGCACGAAAAGAAGCAATTCAAGCACATTTGTAAGTGCTTAGTCAAAACTGCTTTCATTATGTATTATTTTATTAAAAATTTAGCTTTATTCCATCAAAATTTCAGCAAAATTGAGTAAAAAATTAAAGATAAAGTAACAAAAAATCATTTTTTTAGAACTTTCGTTATATTACGGGGAATGAAAGTATGATTTGATAAATATGCTAGTGTTTCGTATTTTTTCGATTATCTCCAGAACCATGGATATATTGTTGCGTACCTATGGATTCGTAATGGATTGAATGCACACACAATCGATGGCATCTTGATAAAATTTATTTTTCCAAAAAGAAACACTACAGTTCTCGAACTTTCCACAAAACCATTTGCACAGATCTTCTGAGTATCACAGAGCACAATCAGTAGTTAAACTTCAAACTACTAAGAATGTTAAGCACAACATAATGCAAAGTGCATATAAGAGGCGAAGCTTTCACGAGATCTTAATACTCCGAAGTCAGATATGAACTAACAACTGAGAGATTATGGGCTGTCCTGTTTTATATAAGTTTACCCGGCCGCCGAGAAATCTCTAGTAGCTAACATTTCTCTAAATTACTGGAAGACATGTCAAGCTATATAGAAGGGCCGGTTATGGTTATAGTTAAATATAGAAATCAATTACAATTCTTCAACTATAGTACCAAATAAAGTTATAAAGAGATCGTACAAAAATGTCCGCAAATGATCGTCAGTTTTGGTGCATTTTGGGAATTTCTTGCCAGATTTGCGAACAAAAATTAGTCGCCAAAACCGTCGCCATCTTGGCGGTATCTCGTCAGTTAGCGAGATAGCCTCAATGTTAAATATACTTGCCCCTGTAACTATGTTTTCCCGGCAGAGTTTCACTTTTTCAAGCATTTCAAGTAACATTATACAAAAGGTACAACAATTTCGCATATAATTTCACTAAAATTTTTTACATATATATAAAATTCGTAATAATATTTCAAGGAAATTTGTTATGAATATAGGCTGATATAACACAAAAATTACGTCATACAACAACCATGCTAAGTACTAATGAATTTACTTTATGACCATCTTGTTCACTATTAGAAATGACTCTTCTACTCCATTTCGGATAAACGGAGTTTAACTATATGTCTTTAAGCAATTTATAATTAACATACTGCTTCGAACCCGTACATACGCACCAATTTTACAAAATTCGTAACAATATGTAACTGATTGTTAAACATATATGCGACCATATACGTCAAGACCAATGTTATTTTGGGAAAATAATTTCTCTTATTTTAATTTTTGGTCAAAGAAAAGTATTTTAGAAAAACCTTGCGCTAAATATGTAGTTTATAAAGCCTTTGAATATGTAGATTTTAGTAATTGCAGTTTCAAATTTCAAGGATTTACTCCTTTTCGTCATTTGTTTCTTTTTTGCATCTGTTTATACTGATCAATCAGCAAACTGATCTATATTTTGTTGCAGGATGTGAGCATGGTGTTGGAATTCATGAAAACTTACTTCCCAGTAGAAGCAGAGAACTTCAAAAAACTAGTACCCGCTACATGTAGTAATATCGAACAAGCAAGAGAGGTATAAAAAATCCAAATAAGTTCAAATAAGTAAAGTAGACTAATTACGTAAATTTTAAATATGAGGTTTTATAGAAAAAGCTATGTTAAAACTTGAAACTATGTCCAATTTTTAAAATGTTTTAATTTGGGATTTTTATGAAATGTATTCTTTTTCATATGTATTTATTGTGCTTTAATTCTATTTATTGCATATTCTATAGATCTCTTGCATTTAATATTTAATGTTTGTTTTTAACATTTACAAGACAATATATCATTAAGTATGTACATTACCCCCTGTCAGCTTCTGAATTAATCGACTTCTGCTTTTTACCGTATTAGAATTATAGCTTAACATATTGAATAGATATTACTACAGATTAACATATTTTTTTTAATGGAAACAATGAAGATCATTGAGGTTGCTCACAAAATTCGCAAAATAGTAGGAAGTAAAAAGATATCTGATTCAGATAATCCATAAATCGTTTATGCCTGTCAGAGATGCTAACTTATGTCTTGAAATTCAAACAGAAATGTTTTAATAGTTTATGGACTTCAGAGTTTTACACGTTGTACACTTTAGGAGCAAAAATTTTGCACAGTTTGTATAGGGTGTACAAATAAGTTTTAAGGGATTTACATAAGATGACGTTACTAGTATTAAATCCTATAGAACAATCTTGTAACTATATCCATGTTAAAGCGTCAGCCTTTCCATCTAAATATCAGTCTGTTTCATTTCGCTGAAGTGTAAACAACAAATTTTCTTTGTGCTTAACCAATGTGAGATGTGAGCCTTTGTACCAAAAAAAAAAAAAAAAAAAAAAAAAAAAAAAAAAAAAAAATGCGGAAAGCGCTTCTTTTTTGTTTTAATTTGAAGAAAAGTGCAGCTAACGGACATCGATTTTTGTGTGAAGCATATGGAGAACATGCTCTATCAATAGCCAACTGTAGTACCAGCTCTATCAATAACCAACTTTGTGATCAGTCAAGTTTGAAGACGATAATTTGAAGGGGTTATTGGACCAAGATTCATGCCAAACTCAAGAGTATCTCACCAAAACTTTGGGAGTGACCAAAACCTTGGAGTCAACAAGCAATTTCAAAGCGTCTCAAGGCCCTGAGTATGGTGCAAAAGCAAGGAAATTGGTTTCCGTATAAACTCAATCCAAGAGACGTCGAAAGTCGTTTTTTCATGTACGAACAACTGCTCCAAAGGCAAAATCGGAAGGGAGTTTTTGCATCGAATCGTGACGGGGGGCGAAAAATTGACCTACTACGACAACCCAAAGCACAGACAGTCGTGGAGTAAGCCCGGCCATGACTCAGCTTCAACGACCAAACTGAATATTCATGGCAAGAAGCTAATGCTGTGCATCTGGTGGTATCAGCTCGGAGTGATATCTGGTGGTATCATCTGGTAGTATCAGCTCGGAGTGATATCTGGTGGTATCATCTGGTGGTATCAGCTCGGAGTGATATCTGGTGGTATCATCTCGGAGTGATATCTGGTGGTATCATCTGGTGTATCAGCTCGGAGTGATATCTGGTGGTATCATCTGGTGGTATCAGCTCGGAGTGATATCTGGTGGTATCATCTGGTGGTATCAGCTCGGAGTGATATCTGGTGGTATCATCTGGTGGTATCAGCTCGGAGTGATCTATTTTGGGCTACTCCAGCCTTACGAAACACCATCGCTGGGGAACGTTATAAACAACAGTGGATGCAGCTGAGCCGAGCATTGAAGCTCAAACACCCCCAATATGCCAAAAGACATGATAAAGTGATCTTTCAGCACGACAACTTTCGCCCACAAGCTGCAAAACTCGCCAAGGAAACTTTGGAGGCGCTTCAATGGGATGTCCTACCCCACCTGCCGTATTCCCCAGACATTGCTCCTTCCGACTTCCACTTGTTCCATTGCGTATGGTAGATTCCTTCGTGCGCATTTTATACACAGTATGTACACTGCGCAATTACTTCACTATACACACTATTGACACAAGCATACTAATGAGCTATTGCAAATAGTCTGAACGTACGATTTTGTTATGCTCAGTTACTTGTGAGACTAGTTTAGTGAGTGTGCGTTAGTAAAGTTGGCACATATCTTGGCCAAATCCTGCCATGATGTAAAAGACCTTGAAAATTTTATTCATGTCCGCACGAATTTTTATAACAAAGCGTGGATAGGCTTCCGTGTTGCTTAATGGAAGTAGCAAATGCGTGGATTTCATTGAGGGGCCCCAGTTGTAGGCATAGTGGACGGACTGCCCTCTTGACTACGATATTTCGAATATTGTGGCTTGTCATAGTACATAGAAATAGGCCATAAATAGTGATGAAGCGAGTTAACGGTGGGGATGTGCTGCGTAGTTGAAACTTTTGGGACATGAGAGATTTTATTTTTGACTACTTGCTTATATGTATAACTTATTACAGTCAGTTTAATTTAACAAGCTTGAGGTAATTTGAAAACATTACTATTAAAGAAAAGTATTCATACTTTTAATCATGTATAATATGTAGCACCCTGTGTAAGGATAAAGTAATTAAAATTTAAGTTGTAATTTTAAGGGACAAATTATAAACAAAGTGTCCTAGATTTATTACAGCGTATATTAAATGAAAAACTAAATATTATAATTTAGTGCAAGGAAAATGAAGAGACGCTTGCGATTAATTTAAACGCATGAACATAAGCTCCATGTTGAAAATTAATATTTTAAAATAAATATAAACAGAGACATAAGAACAAGCAAATACAAATTCAGTTAAAGAAAACAGAAGATTCGATAAGCGTATAGTAACACTAAAAGTAACAACAATGGAAAACGAAACTAACAGAGGAATAAAAATTACTAGTAAAAGATGCAATGTATGCGAAATAAAAGATGAAGTTCGGCTATTAAATGTGTTTCTGCAATAAAGATTACAGGACTGAGTGATTTGAGTTAAAAAACAGTCGATGATTAATCAACTAGAGGTTGGACTGAAATGGAAAGCGATCAGCAGCCTTAAATCTGCCTAGTCTAAGCTGAGATTATTCGATGGTTATGAGTTTCTTGAAGAGTGGTATGCAGATTATGGTACCAATTCCAGACTACGGATACTGCAATCAGGAGGTTTTGCCAAGGCCGTAAAGAGTTATGACGCACGTAGAGTATCGAAACATGGCATCAAATACTGTAGAGATGATGGTTAGAAAGCTTTTTAGGTCTTCGTTGCTGCATCTGTAACAACATTTTCTTGGCAAACTGTGTATAAACATCTAGCATAGTGGGACCTTTACGCCCCATGACATGCGGCATGTGTCCACTTTGAGTTACATTCATGAAACGGATACTGCGTAGCACCTACACTAGTACAACATCGACATAGACTAATTACGACTAATACTCGTTATTAGCATACGATTGGCACGATAAAATAGAAATTTTGATACAATCGGCACGATAAAATAGAAATTTTAATAATGAATAAAGTAATCAATGCATATTTGTCACATGCTTGGAGTTGTCTGAGGCATTCAATCAATATTGCGACGGACTGATACCTGCATGGCATCGACACGGCGTAGGAACGGTACCGGCATGCAAAAGACATTGCATAATTTAGTCGAGGGTTATAATTAAAACAAAACATACGTATAAGGGAAAGAATTAAGTTATTTCTTTAGAGTTAGCTCACCGCCAAGATGGCTCCTGACTCCGGAAGTTAACCTAATAGGACGATTTCCTCTTGATGCATTTGTGATATCTAAGAGAAAATGTTTTACATTGGCAAACAATGTCGGTTGGATTTCACAAAGCTAGATGCTCATTCAGTCACTACGTAAGACTATTAGAGCCAGTACAATAAGTTTCAATGCAATAAGTCTCGTACAATCGCTACAATATGCAGACCATGCCATCGTAAACAATAAACAATACATAGTATATCCTGTCGACCGTGAAGGTTAGCCACTATAGAACCATAAATGTTGGCTGAGATTCCATCAAAGTTGCGCTAATCGGTTTCAGCGGAATTATGAAGGAATTGACGCCTCATATTTTGGAAAACAATCAGTATTCGATCCACTCTGTTTTTACACTTCGTAAAAATGCTTTTGTAGATTTCTATTTTTTCGTTAGGCTTTCCGATTGTACCAGAAACTCTATTTACAGAGCACAGATTTCCTGAAAGTAATTGCTCCAATCTATTACTGTTTTCTCGGCCATATTCAGCTAACCATATCCTGTCCATTAATGCATACTTTTTCCCGTGAAAGGATCATATAACTTTGTAAAAAGTACACTATTTGCTATTCTGTAAAAGGCAGGTCCTAAATTTTTGTTATTTCTTTCAAAATGCAAGGAAAAATATGGAACCTTGTTCACAAAAGTAAAAGATGGTTTGTCGAGAATCGAATCACGTCCAGCTCATCCATAATCATGCGCTAAATCATGGTGCTTAGCCACAGTTTCTGGGTCAACGGAATAATACGTAAGTGCTCAATAAACAGTACTTAAAAACAAGTAAGTAATAAATAATATCAATAACAAAATAATTATATGTGCAAGTAAAGCCTTATTGAGAGACAGTGGTATTAACCTTACAGTGTTTCAAAATTTTCCTTATTTGTGCTTATATTGTTCTAGAGTGTTTGTGGTCCAGATTAACCAGGCTCTTTAAGTGAGTTTTCGCAGGTGTAACGATATTGTACAAGGCCATTCACCGAAATAGCTATTTATGTTCCCCCCCCCTTCTCACTGCATTCACATTTTGGAGAATTTGCATTAGACTAAGTTTTACAGGGATTTATTATTATAGTTAGCATATTTCTTTAAGATATCAGCATAGGATGGACAACGGCATAGAGTCCAGACCGGTTTCTGAGCTGCCTATGATGACAAAAAAGCTGTTGGTGTCGGTCTTGTGTCGTAGTCGCTTCGGCTCAACAGATCGCGGAAGGGACGGCTCGATTTTTCGTGCATTAAGTGTGTGGGCACTCAGTGTTACACTGAACTTCCAATTTAGATTATCTGTGTTTTCCGGAATTCAGTCTTTCGATTATGTGTGCTATATCCGTGCTAATTAATGCAATGCATTAATTAACACGATAATAGCGAGCTCAGCTACATTGTCTTAGAAGTATCTTTTCCAAGATGCACTTCATTACATCCACATGATATGCTATTTTCAGTGTTACTGTTTTGATTTTGAATTTGCCATTATGATACAAGCTTTTTTCATACAATTAAAGGAAAAATAGAATTTCATGCGGAATTTTCTGCAAGCAAACTTACTTATCTAACAAATGTTAATAGTATGAATTTATCGTTTAAAATGATAAAAATGTAATAAATTATTTTAATTATTTTACAGGCAGTGCATGAGTACTATGAGAAAAGAACTGAAAATGAAGATTCGGTATGTATCTCTGAAGGGATATTTCCGTTTTGTTATAAAATGATGTGAAGAATGAACATTATGAATAATGTACATGCTTATGAAAATTTGTTATAAGTGATGTAAATGTGTATTTAATTGCTGTTTCACGTTGAATTATAGCAGTTTTCATATTAATGAAATTTGTTACTTTTATTAATTTAATAAGGTCTTATTTCTAAGAAATGAAAAGGTATCGTGTTTAAATGTTTATACTGTGAAACTTTGCTTTTTGGAGATACTCGACGATGTGGTTTAGGTAACTGAGATATCTTCTTGTATTGATATAGTTTTGCGAAATCTGAATGAGAATAGCTTTTATCTCATTTTTCTTTATACAAATATAGTTTTGAATTGATTTTTCAGGTAGAAGTTCAGGCATGCAGTCTTTTGTTTAAAAGTGGGAGTTAATTTTTTTCTTGAGTATTGTATTTCATTATTTAGCGGGATTTCCAGGTATTTGTCGATGCGTTTCCTGTATGCACTAGGCAGCTAATCTATAAAAATTTTATTGTTTATTATATTTTATGGAATTTTATGTTGTGAATGATGTAATGAATGATGTCACATTACTTTAAAAGTAATTGATTTTAATATCTATAAATTTAATCTAATGTTTTAAACATTATTTATGGCTGTTAAATATTAAAATACAATTTAATTTTGCATTTTTTCTTGAAAAATGATGTTATTATGTATGATTATTTAAATAATTTTAATTCTATGCTTGATATAGTCAGCTGCCTGATTGGTTACAGAATATTTGTGCATTACCGCGACATTTTAAAATTTTATTATTCATCTCTTCGAATTCCTTACATTTCATAGGAAACGGATATGTCCCTTTCGAAGATTAATGTTGTTATTAGTAAGTACCAGGAATTATTGGTATCTTAATCGAAAAATTGTCCTTTGAGACCTTATTTTGGCCAACCTGGTTTTCCTAATCAGAGATTTATTTATAAATTGTTACAAGGCTCAGAGGAAATTTTTTTTAAATTTTTGAAGGAAACCGCGCTAATTGCTTCTTCAATGAAGTGCGAGAAATGTGGGTCACAGATGAAGATCGTTAAAAGGGCCGATTCTGAGGACGGCCGTATATGGTATTGTGATTCACGGTGGAAGAAATAACCGCTGTAACGGTAAAAAAAGTATTAGACATTCCTCCTTTTTTACCGACAGTAAACTTCTAATTGCTGTTATTTTAGCTCTAGTGTACGAAGCGTTCTTATTTACTTATTTTAAAGTATTTGAATTTAAGTAATGTTTTAATTCTTTTAAACGTTGGTATGATGGTTTTTAAACGTAGGTAGGATGGTTTTTAAACGTTGGATAGTTTTTAATTCGACATTCAGTTTAAGTAATATTTTAATCCAATTAAACTTTGGCGCAATGTTTTTATGGCGGTGATTTTATTCTATTTCTATGCTATATAAAAGTAATAATAACCTTACTTTAGTATTTTATACTCATAGTTGATGTATTTATTTACATTTGCCTGCCATCTTTAAAACGACATTTTAAACAAAAAATTAATCCATTACTTTTAATGAAATTAATTTTTTTAATGTTTCGAATATTTTACTATGCGTAAAATACGTCAAAACAGCGTTTAAGATGGCTGACGATCGTAAAAACCGCCCAACGATTGCGCCAACGTAAATCGCCAAAAATCCGTGCAAACGTCTACCAAAGTAGCACCTTCGTTTCAAATCGAGCTACGTTTTTATCTAAAATGAATAACCTTTCATACAAAGATTTCAGATTAAAACTTACATATATATTCCTACCCTACTACCCTGCTTAGTGAGTTCAGTATTTTTGTTCTTAAATTTTGGTAAATTGTGCGTAATTTTGCTTTAAAGTGGTTGAATTCTGTTGTTCTTATGATCTGGTTAATGTTTTCACGCCTTTAATTAATCTGCATGCAACAGTCGTAAAATTATAAACAATTTGAAAGCTTAAGAGGCACCAAGCCTAAAAAGGCCGCCATTTGTTTACATTTGAATTAAGTCATTGGTGCACCAACTTCAATGCCTTTTTGCACTGTGGAACCAAGAGTTAATTTTCGATTTTGCGCACCAAATATTTGATCTCCATGCTCGTTGACTGAGTTGCTTGTTTCTCGTAGAAACTGTAATTTTAATTGTATAAATTGCTTTTTTTAACTGTTTTTGACTGTATTTGGGTTTCAAGTTTTTTTGTATTTTACTATTTTGAATGAAGATATTTTGAGTTTTTCTATATTTCTGCCTTGCCGCAAAATGAGAACTGAACTGATTGAATAAGAAATAGATCTCTAATGAAATTCGAGAGAATAAGTTTAAATAAAGTGCAGCAAAAAATATGTATTTTTTAATAAGCCGTGCAAGGAAGTCGTGTGGTATCCACATCAAAGGTTTTCCACAAAAGTAATAGTATTCAGCTATAATTAATACTTTTCCCAGGTTTTCTCCAAACTGGCATCTTCGATAGCACTAATACGTTGATTGCTCGTACATTGCTTTTAGATGAAGCAAAAACTAAAGCAGAGTTTTTTAGGGTTCACCTTTCAAGATTTTTTTCAGGTATTTACTTCTACACTTTGAAAAAATATTGATAATGCCATCATAAGTAGGTGCTGTAGAAGATGGAAGGGAATCAGTAATATCTCGCGGAGATCCACCACCTTGAAGATAGTTATAAGCATATAAGAAATTTGATGAAAATGCAATAAAAATATAAAAGGGATAAATGGTAAGATTTATGACTGATAACTTAATTAGGTCATGATACACCAAGCTTGTTTCTGAGTCATTAGTCATTACACCTTATATAAAACCAATGAGAAAATATGAAAGCCAAGGAAGTAAAAAAAGAAAGTTGAGTATTTATTAGAGGATGGAAGGTGGATTAGTGTATATGAATATACTTATGAATAAATATATTGCAAACGGCAATATATTTATTCATAAGTATATTCTCATATTTATGCATGTAAAGCATTTGTATCCAGAAATATACGCACTACAAATATAAAATTTCTAAGCCGAATAAAAACTGCAATTTTCAATGACTTTTCCAATTTGAATTTCAGTAATCAATTGACAGATGTATTTTATATTTCAGGATGAATATACTCCAGAGCAAAAGCAGATGCTCGTGAACTGTAGAGTAAGTCCTTTCTGTGTTAATTTAGTATCTGCAATTTACACCAAAACTTTATGCGAGTCCTGTTTTCGCAATCGTTCGTAATGGACATGTATATCCAGTTACAAACATCTTTTAAATGACAAACATTCATGCTAAAGTGTTTCTAAATGAATATATATATATATATATATATATATATATATCTAAGTTTTATAAAACTACGCAAGCTACTTTTTTATGGTTCCCCAGGCTCTATAGTTACATTTAATAAATATTTATATTCATTTTAAAAATTAAAATACAAAATGTTTCACTCCTGTGCGAAAAACTTTCGCTGAGATTTTAATTTATGCACAGTTTATCATTTGTGATTGTTTATTTTCATTGTTTTCTCAACAGTTGACGTTATGTATGCATTCTGGGAATTTCGGTCCGTGAAATATGCATGTGAAGAATTAAAGGCATCCTTCTTATGCACTTGTTTTGGATGCCATAATCCGGGATCCGAGATTCGCTAAATACTGGTAACTTGGTTTGTGGCTGGAAACCTGGCGAATGAGCTGGCTGCATGGGCGTTTTCATGGTTTCCCCCATGTGTAACGTGTATACGAGCCAGTTTTCCTTTAGAAAGTCTTCCGAAAGTCTAAGAGAAGGCATACCTTCGAATGCTTGGTGCTACTTTGGTAGACGGTTGCACGGATTTTGGCGATGTTTTGGCGATTTTTCTTTTGGCGAGTAATACAACTTATGGTAAACCCATTGCTGGATAAGTTATTTATGGTAACCGATACTTTGTTGACATTTTATTTAAAAAATAATGCGTGTTATTATGCATAAATTCCGTGTTTTTTAATATTATGGCTTCTAAATATTAAAAATCAATTTAATTTTGCATTTTTATTGAAATAAAAATTTTATTCTTTATCATATTTTATGAAATTTATGCTGTGGATGATGTAATCAGTGACGTCACCTTACTTTAAAAGTAATTGGTTTTAATACCTATAAATTAATCTAATGTTTTAAACATTATTTATGGCTGTTAAATATTAAAATACAATTTAATTTTGGGCATTTCTTTTTTAAAATGATTTTATTATGTATGATTATTTAAATAATTTTAATTCTAGACGTGATGTAATCAGCTCTCTGATTGGTTATAGAATATTTGTGCATTAATTAGCTGTAATCAGCTCCCTGATAGGTTGCTGAAAATTTGTGCATTACCGCGCCATTTTAAAATTTAATTCATATCTTCGAATTCCTTCAAGAATGTCTCCTTCAAAGATGAATGTTGTTTTTGATAAGTGCCAAGAATTTTTGGTTTCGGAATCAAAAAATTGTCCTTTGAGACCTTATTTTCGCCAGCCTGGCTTTCCTAATCAAAGATTTATTTATAAATTCTTACATGGGTCAGAGGAAATTTATTTTAAATTTTTGAAGGAAACGTCGCTAATTGTTTCTTCAATGAAGTGCGAAAATGTAGATCACAGATGAAGATCGTTAGAAGAGCCGATTCTGAGACGGCCGTATAAGATATTGTGGTCATGTTGGAAGAAATAACCGCTGTAACGGTAAGAAAATTATTAGACATTTCTCCTTTTTTACCGATAATAAACTAATTGCTGTCATTTTAGCTCTAGTGTACGAAGCGTTCTTATTTACTTATTTTAAAGTCTTTAATTTAAGTAATATTTTAATTCTTTTAAACGTTGGAATGATGGTTTTTAATTCGATATTCAATTTACGTAATATTTTAATCCAATTAAACGTTGTCGCAATGTTTTTATAGTGGTATTTTTATTCTATTTCTATGCTATATGAAAGTAATAATTTAACCTTTCTTTAGTATTTTATACTCGTAGTAAATGTATTTATTCTATAACGTATTTTAAAGTATTTAAATTTAATAATATTCTAATTCTTTTAAATGTTGGATGATGTTTTTTATTTCGATATTCAATTTCAGTAATATTTTAATCTAATTAAACGTTGGCACAATGTTTTTATAGCGGTGTTTTTATTTTTTTTTTTATTTTTTTTTTTATTATTATTATTATTATTATTATTATTTTATTTTTATTTTTTATTTATTTATTTATTTATTTTTTTTGGCTATATGAAAGTAATAATAGCCTGACTTTAGTATTTTATACTCATAGTAAATGTATTTATTTACACTTGCCTGCCATCTTAAAAAACGACATTTTCAACACAAAAATTAATCCATTACTTTTAACGATATATATATATATATATATATATATATTTTTTTTTTTTTTTTAAGTTTCGAATATTTTACTGTGCGTAAAAACAGCGTTTTTCAAGATGGCTGACGATTGTAAAAATCGCGCCAACAATAGCGCCAACGTAAATCGCCAAAAATCCGTGCAACCGTCAACCAAAGTAGCACCGAATGCTTTGCCAAGCCAAGCCAAGATCATATTCGATTCCGAGCGAAGGTACGGTTTATTTTCAAAACATTTTTGCATCCAATCTCCAGATGCTGTTCACATCCGATGCCCAAATTAGTGCAGAGATTCCTTGATGTGAAGACTAGGTTTGTATACTTGAATGGCGAATTCATGCTGTTGTTCGTCGAAGGATTGCTGATGTTATCATAATACAGGATCCATTATTATATACCATAAATCCTAAACTATGGTATTCGTAACTTAAAATCCCAGCCTATGGTATTCGTGATCTTTTGGCGAGGATGATAGCTGGGCTCTGAAAATTCTGTAATCAAAGTACCAAATTCATTTAATCTTCCGATGAAACACTTTTTTCCAAGTTCTCATGGGAAATTTTTCAGGATAATCAATACTCACTATGTCATATAATCGATCCTTTGATCACTGTCATAAATCGATCCTTTGATCAATTCATCTTTGTCGGTTCGTTTCTATCCACTTATGAATGTTATTAGTCAACTCTATTTGCAGGAAATAAACTGGGACACTTATGCAGGTTTAACAATAACATGAGCTATATTTTTAAATTTTGTAAATACACATTAACTTTTTACAAAGTATTGCTTTTATTCACATTTACATCAAACGCACAAGTAATACATTGCATCTCTCAGCTCTTAACAAAAAAAAAAAAAAAAAAAAAAAAAAAAAAAAAAAAAAAAAACAAGAAAGACCAACTCTACTCTCGGAATACAGTCAAACTAATTTCAAATTTTTTTTCACGAGCATTGCCGTTCTTCTCGCATCAACACTTTTCTTCTTCTCGTTGCCAGATTTTCCCCTCTCCTTTCAGGTAAACTGTTTTTTCACACGAGCATGCCGTCCTTCTCGCATCAAGCACGCTTCTTCTTTTCGTTGCCAGATTTTCTCCTCTCTCCTTTCAGCTATAAGTCTGTTCTTCCGGCAGGTTTGGTCGGTCAATAGAGTATGGGCATGACAGACTATATCTTTCTTTCTGAGCTTTTTTTTTTTAGCCAATTAAACTAAACTATTATTACGAGAAACTAATCGGCTAATTAGTTTTTCGTAATACAAAGTGCTCCGTAAGTATTACGAAAATAACATTCTATAAATTATGCTGAGGCAAGGATTCTTGGGAGAAGTTTTCATGGGAACTTGCTCACATTTATCCCATGGGTGAAGAAATCTGTGAAAATACTCATGCACACAACGAGTTAAGAACATTGGGATTTGAACCTGGGAAAATGTATCATTATGATTTGCGATTTAAGCTTCTCGGCTAATGGTCAGTTCATAGAATTTTAAATATCTGTATTTTTGATTTCTTTGATAGTACTTTTGTTTGCTTTTTCAATATATTCATAATCTTCCATCCGATGCCCAATATTGCTGTTAAAAATGTGAAAAACAGAGGCTTCTGTTGTATACTTCTTTCTAATGGTAGTTAGATTTCTGTTTAGGGAGCAAACTTTGAAATCTAGAGCCGTAAAATTTCATATTATAGGAAAAATCTTTAACTAAGGTAAAAAACTGAGTTTTAGAAGGGTAAGAAAAGAGTGGGAATGCTTTCGGTACTTCTCATTAAAATTGAGTTCTGGGTTGGAAATCATTCGGTCCACCAAAGTTCAACCTCTGACATGGGGCGCAGTTGAAAAGGAAATTCTGATTATTATTATTTCGTGAGTACCAGAAAAGACTATAATAATTTGTTACTTGTAGTTTTAAAGTTTAATTATCTACTTTCACTTAATGGCTTGGCTTAGGGAACTCAAATGAACGCGAGTAATCCCAATAAATAAATTTAAAATAGCTGAAAATTCCTTTGTATATCACAATTTGTGCCGCAGCTTAAAGTAAAGCAACACAAAACCAGAAAGAGTCATGAGGTCACAAACAAACTTAACAAATTATAAAACATTACTAACTCATTTGTAAATTTACCTTCTAAATGTATTGAAAAGCTGGAAATATTCTAATTCTTGAACTTTCAACAAAGAATTACAATTTATAGTCAGCGCAGGAGCAATCTTCAAAAAATTTCAAACACTTACTCAAGTGAATATCAATTCTTTCGAGACCTGAACAAAAAACTAACGTTAATAAATCGTGTAATTTAAACTTACATTAATGTATCTGTTTACTGCCGTATCAAAATTTTAAATATTGGACATTGCAGTGAAAATCTAGAATACAAAAATGTAAAACTTTTTAATTTAACCATTAGAATAAAATGTAATTATCAGCTAAAATCAGCTTAATAGCTGAAGATTTAACTGTATTTTGTTCTGTTACTTTAAAATAGGCAATTCAAAGTCGTATGGACCCTTTCCTCATTTGCAATCATAACGTGTCTCTTTATCACTGCACCGAAGAATTAGGGGATTTTAGCGAATTAGAGTATTTAACCTTTTATTCGCAACAGTCGTTGCCATGGTTATCAGAAATGCTTTAGGGTAAAACAACGGCCCTTGAAGTGTGCCTACTCTAAGGTAATAGATTATAAAGAGTAGCTGATTCAACATACTCGAACAGATAATCCTTAAAAGTTTATAAGTAACTCTGTAAATATGAACATGTGTGTCATGAACTAAGTGTGTCATGAATAGGTTAGAAACTTCAATAAAGGAAATTTATTATCTACTCAATGTCTGACTCATCTTTAGAACGCATTATTGGCACCTGAGAGATTACGAAGTTGCAATTAATAGGCAATTAGAATTACGCGTTAAATTTAATATGATAGCGAAAACATTAAATGCAGAGAGTTTCACCATGATCCTTTGACATACACCCTTTTTATTCTAATTTTCATCTTTCGCTTCTTTCATACTAGAAACGACGTGATATCCCTCCCATGTTAATTTTATGGGATAGGCATGCGATGAATGTCATGATCCACCATGTGAGGGATATCACGATCCACTTGAGGAATAATCCATCGGCAGCTCTTTTCTTGGGTTGTGAACTTTATTCACAATCCAACACAAGAAATGGCAATGGTAGAAAAATCGGCTAAAGTGCAGAATCGCCCACTTCTTTGTTTGGCGCTTTTTACAAGAGTAAGAAGAATTGGATGTTTGTCAATTTTCTTTGACTTTTTAAGTGAAAATAGGTCGATGTGTACATGGATAAAGTCAAGAGTGTGCGCAATGCCATTTGTGCAATTCTGGGATATTTTTTTTTAAAGTGAAAATAGGTCAACGTGTACATGGATACCGAGTATGTGCAATTCTTAAAAACGCCCCAAGCAGTGGGCAATTCTGCACTTTCCCCGAGAAATCTGTATTTAAAATACATTAAAACCATGTTTTGCTGAGTTTGTGAAAAGACTGATTATTATTATAAAAGATATTGTAACTTACAATTACATCTAAAAATCTAATTAAAAATTCAGAACAAATAACATAATTAAAGTTTCTTTACCTGTCAGACGAGATCAATTGGCTAATATTCCATAAGCGGGGTACGTTGGCGCCAAACTGTTTTGGCTTTCAAAATTTGGCGAATTATTTAGGCGGCAATGAAAGCACCAAGATGTGATTTTTAAACGTAAACAAAATAGCAACTTTTAGTTTTTGCAGTAGTGAAACGCCGTTATTTTATATAAACAGAATAGAATGAAGAAAACAGAAACAGAATAGAGAAACGAGTTGATAAAATACTAGATGAGTAAAACAAAGTCCAACAGCTTTACAAGTAAAAACATAGTCCTATACAGTCAAAAGTCGTTAATTCGGACACCCATAATCCGGAATGATCTATAATCCGGACCTCAAAGCTACAAACTTTCTGCGCATGCGTCGCGTTGACGCATGCGCGTAAGACCTTTACCGCTGCGAATTTGCGTGTGCGCGTGCGCAAAATACGTTTACGAATGCGCGTTTAATGTATAACGGACGGGATAAGCTAAGCTAAAATTATCTAATTATCTATTTCAGTTAATGTTGCAGATTGCGTTGTTCCTTAATCTTTGAATTGGATCCGGATTATTATTTATCTTTAACGCCGCGGCGGCGTGCATTGAATTGGAAGTTGATCTGTCAGCACTATCCTTATCTTAAGGACAGATGTTTTTATTTTATTTGGCTTATAATTGCTTACTCAATGTAGTATTTCATATTTCATCTCGTCTTTGATATGATTTAAATCAAATGCCTCGTCATTATAATTCGCTTCCGATAGCGAAGAAAGTGACAGAGGTTATTGAAAACGAAAAAATTTCGATTGACAAAATTTCGATTAGTCGGTATTCTCGACACAGCAATTATAGGACTTGAACAGCGGAACTTTGTAACTGAACAAGAAATTATGTCTGTTTATAGAATTAAAGAGAAGCATTATAACATAAAAAACGAAGCAACTTAAACAACTTACATTAAAAGAAATGTTTAATAAAGTAAACAAATAAATATTAAGCTTTTTTTTTTTTTTGTAAATTTTGATACCCTTTAGATCATAATTGTTCTTTATTTCGTAAATTACGGTTTCATATTTTTAATTTTACAATTTCTGCATGCCATCTTACCAGATTTAAACTGATGATCTATAATCCGGAAAAATCGATAATCCGAAATCGCCGAAGTCCCGACGAGTCCGGATTAACGACTTTTGACTGTATATGTAATTCATCATAAAATAGTGGAATGAACAATTCTTGTAAATAACTATTGAGTAAATAAATATATAGACTTATCAGATCAAAGCACTGCGAAGTGAGTTTTAAACGTAAACAGAATAGGAAATTATGCGTATTCAGCATCATAAACTCACTAAAATATTCAAGTTACTATCGTCGTGGAATTCAACACACTAAACAACTTTCGTTCAAAACTTTAAATATTCAAATCTTTCGATTTCCACATGTAAGAAACAAAACTAAAAAAACAAAAACAAAAAAATAATAATAATTAACTAAATAAAATTAAATAAAAACATTCATAAATTATAACTTCACGTCATCTGAAATCCAACATTCTTCCACAAACAACAGCTTAACCATCTGCAAATATTTATATAAATGTAATATTAAACATATAGTATATGTATATATATAATATTAAACAGTAAAAGCTTTTCAAAACAAACACAGTAATTTAAAATTAAATTTAAAAAAAAACTTCTGGCTACACTAAATTCACACTCTTACTTACAATTACTAATGTAAAGCTCTAGGTTTGCCACAAAAAACATACAGCCGGAAACCACAACCAAATCAAAATCGCGCCAAATAAAAAAACTCTCGCCAAGTTTGGCGCTCACCCTGATTATGGAATATTAACCGATCAATTCAGTCCAAGATATTTACGGCACACACAAATACATGACAAGAAAACACTTGTAAATCCAGTTATATATATATATATAGTTCGCACTTAAGAAAATTTCATCTTTCTACATTCTTCGTGATTTCCATGGCAATAGAATTTTTTACTCAAAAGGAAGTCAGACGCACAGCGCCATCTTGCTTGTGTAATTATAATTTCCACTGCTGCCGATGCTAGAGAAATCTGTATTTCAAATGTATTAAAACCATGTTTTGCTGAGTTTGTGAAAAAACTGATTATTATTAGAATGTTAAATGCTATTTCCAGATATTTATATATATTTTGTACTGAGTTCTTACCCTTTGGAAAACTAACTAATTTTCTTTCCATAGAAATGTTTCATGAACATGATCAGCGAATGCATAGTGAAGAAAGAAATGGGTATGCTTCGCCGAAGATAAGAAGTCAGCTGGATGTTGCAACAATCGCATACCAGTTAAGTCGCAGGAGTAATTCTGATGCACGTTAACTGCTGAGCGCAATTTGCATTTAATAAACAGCTTTCTGAAATATATGATTGCAATTTGTGACCTATTACATTAATTTTTAAATATTAATTAATTGGAAAAGGTAACACTAATAGTATCTTTTAATGCAATAAAATATCAAAAGTATCGCAATAGCTTATAGAAATGTTTTACTTATATCTCATTACAGTTTACACTAGTGCACAGAAATTTACAAAATGCATTATGTACAACACAAATACGTATGCAATCGCATCAGTGCTTCAAGGATTAGTGTTATTATCAAAGTATTCTCTTTCAAGAATGATAAAGAGAGAATTACCTTCGTTGTGTCAAAAGAGTCTGCATTTATACCTCTTAGCAGAAGTTGTCAGCCACCTGCCAAATCCATCGTTTGGACTGGCTGCATAATCGGTGATACTTTTGTCTGGGCACCCAACCGGGATAGTGATTAGTGATTAGTGACTCGAAGGAGCCGAGTTCAAATCTTGGAAAAGGCATGGATGTTTGTAAATGTATAGCGTCTCTGCGGTATGGTGGCATTCTAAATATGCGGGGTTCCGAAAGTCCTCTCGAGAAGTTGTGGTAGGAGAAGACGAGTGGAAGACCCTCCGACCCGACACCCTTGAGGCGCTCTTTCTCGAAACGGGGGGGGGGACTGAGCTAAAATCGAGCTGTCACCTACATGGTGCTCAAGGCTCTCGGCAACCACAGGAGAATTTGACTCCTCGCCACGATGAATGCCAAGGGCTTGTGCTGACCATTGTCAGACAAGTGAGATTGGTAACAAGAGCAGTGCTTAAATTGAGCTGGAGCCCACCGGAGCCTGGCTCCGGTACTTCTCAATTTTTAAGATAAGTTACAATTTTAGCCGGAGCGCACCGGAGCCCTAAATAATATGAGCTCCGGTACTTCTTTTTTTATAAAACTGAACCACGGTTTAATTAAACTTAGAATTCTTAACGTTTTAGTTTAACAATAAGCAGACTTTGCAATACTCTAATTCCCTAGAAATACGAACTTATGAGAACGTGAAACGTTCAAGTAAAGTCCCCTCACTCACATGCGGAAACGTTTCCCTTTAAGAAGAGCAATAAACTTGGGGGAGTTTGTTTAGAAACGCGTAAATTTCTCGCCATGCCACCGTATCTAGTGTATTGTTATTGATGCTTGGTGTTAGTTATCCTCGCAGGAAGGAAAATTTGTGTTCTTAAATGTGCGTTAAGTGACAGCGAGTACAATAAGAGTGAAATACTGAGATAAACTACTCAAACACGTCATACACATCGTCTTTCCCACAATATCCACTAATGGGATGAAGCGTAACCAGCAACTTTACTTTCATCCTTAGGAGTCAGATTCAGAACTCATTTTATCCCTGACAGACATCTGCTTGATTTTTATAATTATATCAGCAGAGAGCCGCGGTCGAAGAAAACGTTCTCTCTCACCAAGATTCCCCTCATTTTTTGTTTCCACCCACTCATTCTGTTTTGCCCTGGAATTTTCATCAGCTATACTTCAAGTACATTTAATTTATGTGGTGATAAAAGAACTCCCCCCTACGATCAGAGCTTAAATTGGGACGGAGCCCAACGGATTTCAGCTCCGGTGCATCTTAGTTTTTGTAATAAATCATAATTCTAGCCGGAACGCACCAGAGCCCTGAATAAGAAGGCTGCGGCACTTCTTTTAATTATTAAATTAACTGAATAACAATTTCAGTAGAAATTTTATCTCGAAAATTTTATTTTAACAAAAATAAATTATATTAAAAATTAGTTATAAAATTTCATTTTATCTCTTTACATTTTATTAATTTTAATTATTTAATTACTCCAATCTTTAATTATTTCAATAACTAATGATTATCTAATAATTATAAATTAAATTATAATTAATTAATTATCTATGATTATCACTTAAATTATAATTGATTAATTATCTATTGGTTATCAATTAAATTATAATTAATTATCTAATAATTATCAATTAAATTACATTTAATTATATAATTATTGATTAAATAGCAATTATAATCATTAATTAAATACCTATTCATTAATTAAATTAATTTTATAATAATTAACTATTTAATTTTAAAATTATTAATGAGTTTAATGGTCATTTTATTTATTTCTTTACTCTTGTTCCTCTTTGCTGACGGTCTTCCACAGGGTTCCGGCACTTCTAATCTTAGAAATTAAGCCCTGAACAAGAGTAACAACTTTTGTCGGGTTAAACGAAAGGTAATGCAAGACTGAGACAGACAGCTTCAAATAAAAGAAAAGAGTATTTAATGAAAAATTAAATTATTAATATAGTATGTATTACTTTCTGCTCACCTTTCAGGCAACTTTTCTATCCCTTTTTTAAGTATCTGAAAAATATTCCTTTATCACATTTTCGACATCTTGTTTCTGTGGTATTTTCCAAGAAGAAAAAATTTCAGCGATCTGAACAGGTAATAATGAAAGGGTTATGTCTGGACTCTTTAAAAGCTGAAGAAGAATTCCACAATATTCATCTTTTGTCAAGCTATTCTCGCAGCATGAGATTCATTGCTATCCCGGTGAAGAATCGCTTCAAATTTATTGATCGAGGCAGTTTTCTTGATGGTTAAATTTCGTTTTAAGTTATCTGACTGTTAACGCCAATAATCTGCATTAGAACCTAGGTTATTTTATAACAACTCAAAATAAATCCCATATACCGCAACTCGGCGAAGCAAAACCTTCTTTGAGAGCTATCTTGGCTTTTCTGTGAAATGAGACTTCTCTTTTCAGGTCAAATGCTATCTTTTTCATTAGTATAATGAATTTTTTATTCGTCTTAATCAAATCCCTAAAAAGGCTCTACCTCATTTTGTGTGAAAACATTAGTGCAAATCGACACTCATTACTGATGATTTTCAGCTGTAGAAAACTTTCTTAAGCAGGACAACTTTCTTATTTATTTCATTTGATGTATTGCTGTTGACTGTACGCAGTGAAGTCTCTCCGCTATTCCTTTATTATTGCTATTCGATTCTATCATCGCCTTGGCATTAGCATTCGGAGGAAAATAATCCTGGGCATATTGAAAAACTGGCTGATTTTCTACAGCACCTCCAGGCAGGAGGGTTGTCCGCCGAAAACCTCGCGGACGGAAACGTCACGGAGAAATCAACTCAAGAAAAAAACGTCGTGGTACAAAAATTGTAGGAGAAAAGAAAGCAAACAGAAAATATCGCAATTTCTAAAACATCGTGGTTCAAAATGTCGTGGTCGAAAATAAAGCGGTTCAAAAACTTCGCAGTTTTAAAGCATCGTCTTCGAAAATATCGCGGTAAAAAATCGTGGATATTTATCTAATAATAATGGACTTTTTTTTCCAAAATGTCTTAGATGCTTGTAGTTGAATGCGTAGAAGCGATAAATATTTTCATTTTATTGAAAATATATTTTTCTGATCACTGTAATTAAAAAATATTATGCAGGAACCAAACTCGGATTTTAAAATTAAGTTTGATATTCAAAATCATATGTTTATAAATCATTTAAAATGATATATAAAAATGACAAACAATTTGTCATTTCACTTGTACCTGAAATTTCAATCCCTGATAAAACTGTAATATATGGCTTATCCTTCAAAAACTTGTAGCGTTGCGCGCCTCCAACTTGCACGCAACCAAGAGGTGACTGTGAAAACTGGATAAAAGACAGAGTCTTGTTAAGGGTTTAAGTCCCTTTTTATTCAACGTAATAAATTACAAGTGCGTGCTCTTGACGCTCACAAACTGCGCCAACTCGGCGGTCAAATAAAAATAATAACCTGAAAAGAAACTAAAGACAAGACTCTAACTACGAGGCTCTCTAAAAGTAACTAACTCACCGCGTTTTACAATACCGCTGCTAATTCAGCAGACTTGAAGCTCACTTGAACGATTAACACTACTTCCCGGCCAAGCACATAGGCCGAAACGCGGGGTTCTTCAATTTCTCGCTAACTACCTCCGCGCTCGTGAAGTAAGAATATCACACCGAACTCGTTTCCTTTCTATTTAAATCAGAATACTTCCGCTGATAATTTGAATCCTTGCGCGTTCTACTAAAATTTACATATTCTGGCATTGGCAGTTCCAGGGGAAAGTAAGGCTTGACAGGAAAGATAGTTTAAACTTAAAATAAATGTTAGTTAAAATAAATATAAACCCTACATTTGCCGCTGCCAGAATTTGGAAAACTTGGAAGCAGGTCCTACAAACGACCTGTTGTAAGTTTCTCTAATTCTGAACTAACTGTCGAGAACCTCGTTTACACAAAAAAAAAATCTTATGTAACAAATTGTATACTAAAATTCTGTTGATCGTTATAACTCTCTCTTCTTACAGCAACTTTTCCTGGACTTCATCAATCAATCTTGGTCTTTCCTTCCAGCATCTGGAAGGAATAAGTATCAGTATCTTTCTAAATACATTATAATTTACACTTTCTTGACACAATAAATTTTTGTTTTTAAACGATTCGTTTTTCTTAGTTATTGCTTACTTCACATTCATTCAATTTTTCAAGCATTAATTTAACTTTACCCTGGCTCTCCACCATGTGTGGTGTCAAACGGGAATATTCGTGTTTTAGTCTTACAACACTTCCCCTAACCACCATGATTTGTTAGAATTCAACGACCAAATAGACACACCTTACTCGACATTCTACAACTCAATGAGCTACTTTAATATTCTTAAAAATTCAAGTGTAGGTGGAGAACCCTACAAAACACATTCATTCTAACTTCCCCCTCATTCATCTTTAAACATGCAGGCTTTCGCTCTAAAGCATGACTTTATCTACAGTTTAATACTTAAATTTTGACTTCATTGCTTTTGAAGCATTCACTTTTAGCATCTAAAATTTTATGCTTCTAGACTAAATTCTACTTTTACATAACATTCAAGTATTTACGTACATTTACAAAATTTTAATACATATGATTTTTACAATTTACCATAAAATGAATAAGAGAAAATAAATTTTTACTTTACTCATTCTTCGCCAAGCTGGCGGCACTGAAACTAAAATTCTTATTAATACAAGAATACGAAGTTATTTTTATCTTCGGCCAAATTTTGGCTTTAACATAACAGAATTAGTCTTTCGACCAACAGAAAA